TGTTATTTTGATTAATTAGAAAGTAGCTGGCATGTGGACTTGCCTCCATGTCATCTCTTGACATTTAAAGCCTTTTTTTTTCCTTGTTGGTTTGGGGAAATGAACTAAGCTATTGCTTAAATCTTAAATTACAAGGGTTCTTGAGAGAGAGGTCAGGCAGGACAAGACACACCGGGGCTTTATTCTATTATGATACGTTTTTAAAGGGACATCTTTAGTTGAGAATTTGCAATGAAAAGCATTGCTGCATCAGTCATTAAATCACTATACAGTGCTTAAAGCCCAGACCTGTTACTGGGCAAGTATAATCTGACTCTGCATTAGATAAAATAGTATTTTGTCAATACAGGAATAATGTTGGTTCTGTGGCTGCTGTTTTTTACAAGCACTTCTGTGTTCTTACCATTAGCTGCCAAAGTGTGGAAGCAGAAAAAAGGTGGGGGTGGGATAGACAGGTGGGCCAGAAAATAGAAGCCTATTTCAGGGAACTGTTCAAAGAGAGCAACATTTGTCACAGAGGCGGGTGACGGGTCTAATTAGCTTGTCAGTCTGACGGAGGCTGCACCCTGCACCGTGAGCTCACAACGATGGACTGACTGGCAGGGCAGCTGACAGACAGTCGATAATACAGCAATTAATGTCATAAATAATTCGAGAGCCAATTACAAGGGAATGGACACTGAGCTGTGATGGAGGGAGGGAAAGAGGGAGGGAAGGAGCACTTTTATATGCTCACTGTCAGCACAAAGTACATTTAAGGTTCTGGCCGAAGAACAACTCAGAACAACTTTTTTTTGGTGTACACATAATAAATAGAGAAATCCTTCATTCCTCATTCTTTCTCAGCATATAACAGCCTATATTCTTGTACTGAGCCAGCTAATAAAGCCAAAATTTGACATATGATAGAACTTATCACTAACTCGTTTTTCCAGATGGCGGCTAAGCAAAGCAAACATTTTTGGAGGCTTTTTTGAAGGATTGTAAGCCTACCTGTTTCATTGGCTGCATCAGGATCTGGCATCTGCACACTTTTCTTGTGAGAGCCCCTGAAGCCATAAATTCACATTTGTAAGGCAAGACACACAAACATATTGACCTGATAGATCAAAAGTATTAGCTACTAAATAGTGACTCTCTACATTTCCTACAAATTGGCATCAATCAGGTAGGCCTTCACACATTACAGCAGCTGGCAATTTATTTTACTCTGGTCAAATCTTATTATGTATATTCATCTTAAAAAAAATCTGTGGCCATATAGAGCAAGACAACAGGTCCATTTAAATTCCTGCTTTTATCCTCGTCTTCCCTTTTGATTATACTTGTCTTCCCTTTGCCCTACTGCTGCTCTATGTATCTACAAGAGTGAAGAAAAGAAGCCCTAGTAAGTTCCAAGTTGCTCTGCTTGTAGCTTACTCAAGGCTAAGGGCTCTCTCCCCAGCCCCGCTTGTTCCAGGTGACTGGCAGATCAGGCACCCACTGTTGCATCATGGCAGGGGAGAGAGTGGAATGCTCCCTATACTTGGGAATTCTGTAGATTTCTCTTCTGCTTTTCCTTGCAAACACAAATTATGCTTTAAGATAAACCTTTAGAATCTTTAAAGAAAGAGAAAAAAACTGAAGCTACATAGCAAACACCCTAAAGAGCTGCATTGCACATTCACAATCCCTGCTTCTCTACTCAATGTGCCACTAGTGCCAAAAAACCCAAATATCTGGGTATATGCAGTTTTCTACCTTCTTCTAGCTAATTCAAAAACAGCACGTGGGGTAGGAATGCCTAACCCTGTGCAAATACAGAGTTTAGACACTTGCAATTTGCATTCAAGAGTTTGGGTGTGCATTGTGAAGACTATACAAATTCTACAGAACTTTGGTTTATTTGTTTGCATTGCGGGTTGCTTTAAGGCCATTCCCCTCCTGATCTTCATTTTGTTGCTTAGATTCTGCAGACATGTGTGTTGTCATTAAAGTCTCCCCCCTGGTCATCTGGCAACAACACCTAATCTACATGTAAGAGGGGCTTCATGGTTGGCTAGAATTAGTGCTAAGAGCACCTAAGTCCCTACCACATCCCCACTCCTGTCCTCCTAAAACACTGTCCTCCCCTCCTGAAGCTGAACCCTCAACCATCTTGTGCTTTGTTCCATGTACACGACATTCCTGGACATTGACCTTTTGTATCCCCACAGGAAGAAATGTCAAGATTTGCTGCACTTTACTGATGGAATTTAGGAAATGGCATAATAGTAAAATCACATTGACCTACAATCCGCAGTCACTTTACATTACAGTCAATCACATTTAGTGGACAGTCCGCAGTAGTCACATGTGAAAGCATATGCAGAAACTTTAGCAGCCACCTCTTTTACTGTCCCTCCTTCTACCTGGAGTCATTAATACTCACAGGACTGTGCTCTCTGTAGTCACCTCCTCCATAGATACACCTCTCCCAGGATGCTCCAGGGAAGCACCCACACTCAGGAAACTCTTTGTCTGGCCTAAAAAGCCTTTTGAAATTCTCCCTAACCCCCCCACCACCATATTGGACAATTTATTTATAGCTTGCTCCTCCTGTATGCAGTTCTACTTCCCTTGGCCTCCTGCCCTATGTAGGGCCTACATGTGGTGTGGAGTGTATAGCTCCCATGCCGTGTGTGTGTGTGTGTTTGCTTGCTTCTCCCTACCTGACTTCTAAATGGGTGCTGACTCACCGCTGACATCACAGCAGAAGGGCTGTTCCTAAAAGAGGCCTAGCACCTGAATACATTGTCTGCTGTAACCAGACACCATTCTGTTACACAGCCACGTAGTGGCAAAATGGCTAACTGTACATGTCTACATGGAGCCTGTCATTTTGCTGATCAAGGATTCCCAGTGTTACCCATTTAAGTCTCCCTACAATCTTATTATACTCTCCCAAAGGTTCAGGGAAAAAAATATTTTTATTTCCTTGAGTTCCCAGATTTTGATGAGCCTAATTATTAATACCAATACTTGTATCCATTGTTTCGCCATGAAAATTGTATCATGTATAATCAAACTTCGTCTCCATTCATAAATTTCATTTAAAATTTGTACATTTTTTTTGCTAGAGATACTAGATAGCATAACTCTTTGTCTAGTCCGTTATAGAGATCTTTGACTACGCTAGATACACAGTAAAATATGAAAATAGTATGCCAATATCACCATCTGTAAGCCAATATCCTGACAGTAACAGGGGGCTTGCTTTTTCTTGTGGGAAAATCACATTTCCTTCAGATTTCTAACACAATTTTTCAAGGTTAACATTGGGAGAAAGGCTGCATTGACACATGCACATCTCCAAAGTTGCGCAACTTTCAAGTGCAACTTTGACAGAACTTTGGGTGAGTGCGACTTGGATGTAACTTAGCGCTGTGCTAAGTCAGACCCACTGTTGCACCACTGTTGCATGTAAAACATTCAGGTATGACTTTGCAACTTTTGAGAGTTAACATTGAAGTCTATGTTAACCTTAAGATGTATGAAAGTCAGATCAAAGTAGTGAACTGCTTTGAAGTCACTGCAACTTTAATCTGCACATATATGAATGGCTATCACTGGAAAACATGTGATATGATTTGTCATGCAACTTTGATGTCCAAAGTAGCACGACAAGTTGCACAAGTGTGAAAGGGGTCTAACAGTAGCGTTCGTGGTCACACTATAAACACACGTAGCTTACAGTTACCCATTGACTGGACCTGTACAGGAGGCTGTCCATGCTACTCTGATATTTCACCACACCAGCTGTCCACTACCTTGAGAGAGCTTAAGGGAAGAGGGCACTCAACCCTTTCAGGTGCAGCTGCATATCCATCAGATCCACACATCACTCTCTGCCACCACTCACTTCTTCCCACAAAATCAGACTCTTTCTTGTCTTACCATATACTCTTGTTCTAAGGCTGGTGTGGAATAAAAAGTATTGAGTAAAAAGTATACAGTTTTGGATGCTTGACAAGTGGTTTAGTGCAACACATTTCTTTCATCAGAATAAACAGGTTAAATTTGCATCAATGGATCATATTTACAGGCTCCATGAATTACATAAGTGTCACTTAACAGGAAACTGAATATGCATTTACGTTCTATTCCCCAGTCAGGGGTGCCTGATAATTTCTTGGGGAGCAAAGTAAGCGCACTATGCTCCTTGGATTGGGGAACCCCCAACTGTGAAATTTGCCTAGGACTCACCTAAATAGCATGTAAATTTTAGCTGCACTTTCTTGCTTTAACAGCTAAGGCATATAGCAGTGCTTTATAGGAGAAATCATTAACCCCAAGCACATTAAGCTATACAAGTAGCTAAATTTTCTTTAACCACTTCCTGCCCGGACACTTTTACCCCCTTCCTGTCCAGGGCAATTTTCAGCTTTCAGCGCTATCACACTTTGACAATTGTGCGGTCATGCAACACTGTACCCATATGAATTTTTTACCATTTATTTGAGACAGATAAAGCTTTATTTTGGTGGTATTTATTCACTGCTGGGATTTTTATTTTTTTTGCTATGTTAATGAAAATGTCCAAAAATTTTGAAAAAAAGTGTTTTGCAAATTTTGCAAATAAATAATCTTTCATCATAAATCTTGGCCAAAATGTATTCCGTTATCTTTTTAGTAAAAAATAAATAAGCAAAATTAGTTCATAACCAAAAAATTATAATTTTTAAACATTATTTTTACATTTTTATTTTATTTTTTTATATTATTTATGGTTTTTTTTGTTGTTTTTTTTTTAAATACTGTCACCCTAGCAGTACAGTGTCACCATGGTGACACTGTACTACTTGTGGGGGGTGATGAAGATTTTTTATTTTTTTTTACAGTGATTGCTTTTACACCCATATAGGATGTAAAAGCAATCATTTCTCTTTCACACTGTCTGCATTCTTGCAGACATTGAGAACTACTGAGTGAGCTGTGATTGGTCACAGCTTGTCACATGGTACAAGGCTGATGTGAATAGCCTTGTACCATGTGACCTCTGTGATCATTCACAGATTTCACACGTAGTAAGCAATTATGTCACAAGTGATATATTGCTTACTACTTTGCATGTGATCACTGATTGGCCAATCAGTGATCACATGATTGGGACCTCGTACAGAGGTCCTGTCTGATGATCGGTGTTTCACTGTGTCCAGTGGTCACAGCGGGCACCAGATCACGGTGCTGCGCGCTCCCAGGGAGCGTGCACAGCTAGAAATGGCGGGTGCCGTTATGAACGGTAACCCACACCCCTGTAGTGCCACCGTCCTGCCGTTTATAAACAGCAGGCGGACGGCAAGTGGTTAACCTAGATGTTTCAGTACGACTTAAAATGGTATTAAACCCAAACACAAAGCATTCTCAGACTGGACAAGGTGGAGAGGTGGTGTGTTGATGTTATGATCTCCACCTTGTCCAATCAAAGAATGTGAGTTCAGGGCAGTTGCTGGGCATAGGACCTGGAATACAGCGGAGATCACTGTAGTAGTGCACTGATTCCAGCTTCAAAAGGGATTGGCCAGGTATGGTACAAGCATACTTGCATTAGTCCAAGCTTGACCAATGTAACTATGAAAAATAGTCCATACCTAAACTTCACCTTTAATGAAATTAAATGAATGACAATATTTAATAATATTCAATGTTATTACTAGCATGCGTTCTAACAAACAGGAGTAAAAGTGGAATAGTACCAGTTCCAGCAATGAAGGAGTTAGTTATCACCGTTAAGTTTTATGTAGGTGACACAGGAGCTGGGAATAATACTCTGCTGTTTGAAAATGAAGATGTCTCACGTTGGGATATATCTGTCTGATGGTTTAAAGGTTGTCGTGACTTTGCTGGCACTGAACATATTGATTTTACCATTGGCGCGTTTGTGGAACATGCTGAGAGAAATCTCTCTCCTTGCAGGCCTAAAAACACGGATCTTTGTCTCTGCCTGGGGAAAGCAGGGATAAAATATCAGATTGCTGTGTTATATACTATTTATGGTGCAGACACATTGGTACAGTTGAGCCTAGGCATAAATCTGACTATTGCTAGTAAAAATAACATCTTATATGATAGATCTCCCTTTTACTTTCAGTTTTAAGGTTCCTTTTTAATTTATATGGCAGCCTTGTCACTATCTTCACTTTTCCTCACACATAGAGGTTGGCTTAAGGCAAATAGGTTTTTTGCTATGGAAGCTGCACCTTGCAAGGCAATTTCCCTTGAGCTTAGTGAAAATGAGGAAATTCTACTTTGCAAGAGATGCCTAATTGCATTCAATGCAATTTTCTTTTGGATGATGCAAGTCAGCAGAGCTTTACCACATTCACTAAGCTCTGGGGAAAATTCCCTTGCCAAAAGCAACTTTCCTTGCAAAGGAAATCAACCATATAGTATTATCTCTTAAGGAACTATCTATAATATGATCGTACATCCATACTGTATGTGTAAAATTTGGATGCAGTTTAATTGTAAACTTGCATAGATCAGAGCAGATCACATGCTCACTATTAACATATTGGGCATAATCAAGCTGCCACGTAGCATGTAGCAGTTAATTACATTTAACAGAACTAGGTAAAGTAATGTAAGATATTATACAGTTCATCCATGCAACTTCTTTAGTTCCAATAAGGGTCAAGCACATACTTCAGCATTTACAGACACAAAGGTAACTCAATAACCTTAATGTAGGAATCCCCAAACTTTTTGAACAAAGGGACAGTTTACCACTCATCAGTCTGTGGACCAGACAGTAGGAATAAACAAATGCTGAAGCATCAGAGGTCAGTAGTAATAAGATTAGTGCACAGCAAAGATATACCTTCCCACAGAGTCCATTTTAAAATGGATACAGTTCAAGGTAACAGAATGACCGATCATTAAAGACACCCCTCTTGATTATGTAGTATGAAAGCAATGTCTAACACTTTGCATCCAAGTACTTTTATGATAGTCCAGGTGATTTTTAGCAAGGTGCATCTCTTGGAGGTAAATTATGTGAGCCCGCACCTGGTTAATCATAGTGAACATCTGGGACACATTTTAATGGACTGCTAAAGCCCCTCACATTTCAAAAGAGAAAGTTACAAAACTAGCTATAGTCTAGGGGAAATATGATAATGACAATAGGATGGGTGAGTCTGCTAGGTCCATCATACATCATCAGCAGTCACACAGAAATGAGACTTATTAATGCCAACCATGCGACCTGTAAAACCAGTAAAACAAACAAACAAAGTAAAAAGACAGGTAAACATTTCTGCATGTAGGAAAGGTGGGTTACCTGCAAACATGGTCAACATTACACGATCCGCTTGTACTGAAGACATTAGAGCCTAGAAATGCAATGAAATTACCATAAACTGGCAGTTATTCATTCTGATTCGGAAGATTAACAAGTTTCAAAGGTAAACAGGAGACTGTAAACAGCCAGTCTGTAGTCTGCTCTAGAGAAGTAAAAAAAAAAAGCACCCTGCCCTCATGAAGGGTACACAGCCTTGCAGGGTATGTCATTGAATACTCAACTTCTTTGCTGCAAAGCATGTGTTTCACTTCAGTACTTTTTTTATATATTCTTGGGGGATGTCCAGTATAATAGTTATAACTGCATTCTTGCACTTTACACAGCCCTTTTGCCTGGCTTTTACTAGAATAGGATCTCTGTTATGGCAGTTGAGAAGTTTGCCTAATAGAGAACTATACGATGCTCCAGGTAGAGGAAGCTTAGCTGGAACCCTGTGAGGGCTCTGTCCCTCTGCCCACTCCAAAAGACCCAAAATGTTAAGGTAACCTGGACTGTAACTGATAACTGCTATGGAGCTTCTTTCATTGTTGCTGCTGTGTTATCCTTCTGCAGTGTGGACCTTGTTAAACTGAATATTCATTACTGCAACAGCCATCTTTAAAGAGTTCACTTTGCAATGCTCAACTATGGAGTGTCTCCATTGCAGGGTCAGCCGCAGCCGTCTTGGCTGGGTCTGGAGGACAGCGATTGTCTGATGCAACAGATCATGGAAAAGTGTGGCGAGGAGGCTGCTGAGAGGAAAGGAGAGAGCACAATAAGGTTGCAGTGAATGGGGAAGAGTGGTGTGTGGACAGAGTTTGCTGGAGCTATCTGATGCTGTGCTGCCCAGGAGAAGAGTGCTGACCAGACACTGCTGATGCCATTATTCTCTGCGCAATGCTACATGTGACTCCTCATGCACACACGTTTTTACAGCTGCTGTTTTTGGCTTTTGATGTTTTTTTCTAAAGCCAGTAAACTCCCCAGCATGTTATTCTATGTCCATGTACACATACACTGTAATCAACATTTTTTGGCAGGGGCGTTTTTTGGCTGAAAAAAACCCAGAATTAGTGGGTTTCTATGGAGTTTTTTTTTTAGCTGTAAAACGCTCTTAACGCTGAAAATCACGGCAAACCAGTGTTTTGGACTTTTTTTGAAAAAAAAATAAATATTTTTTTTGGTCGAATAAAACTCTAAACAACACAAATGTGAAAAAACGTGGCTAAACGCTACTACAAAACCGCAAAAAAAGCACGTTTTTAACGTGACTTTACACAGCTAATGTTTCCAGCGTTATTAAACGCCCAGTGTGCATGGAGCTGGAGAGAACCGGGATTCTGAGAGCCAACAGTTAGTGTTTCACCTGCTGGAACTCTGATCTCTGACCATCAGGAGACGGATCCTTTAAAAAACATACATGGAAGAGGCTAATATCATACAAGTTAATCTGTTGTCTACTGGGAACTATTGTGCTTTCAATGGTCACAGTTTTGCAGGTCAACTTTTTTTTATCATCATTCACTGGCCAGTGTGGCAAAATGGGGATTCCTATAGCAGTGTGGTGGTACCCACATAGGAAACCACAATATTGTAGGTCCCTTGGCCTTTTCCCATAGTTGCCCTGCAGCCAGCAGTGTTAATTTTGACATCAAATTTCGATGTAGTTTTAGTCAGTGATTTGGCTAAAATTCCATTTTAATTTTAGTAGTATTTTAGTCTACTAAAATTTCCAGTACATTTTAGTTGACTAAAATCTACAGTATATTTTAATCAACAAAAATCTCCAGCATCATAAACAAACAAAAATATTGCTTTTTGACAAATGGAACGGAACATTAAAATATAAAATAAAAAACTGTAAACTCCATTGGCTGTAATGCCATTGTACATAATCCCTGAATATAAAAACTTTAACAGTTCTCTGTTAATAATGAAAGTATTAAGTAACATCTTTATAAATAAAACAAACGTCAAATTTCAATTTAGTTAAAAAAATTTGTCATAGTCTTTTGACTAAAAAGCCATTTTAGTTTCAGTTGTATTTTAGTCATCTGAATTGAAACTGAATTTTATTTTCATTTAGTTTTTGTCGCTGAAATCATGCTGCTGATGAAAACTATGACGAAAATATTTCATCAATGAAATTAACCCTGGTAGCCAGGCACACATGCACATTCACTCCTTCGGCTCAAGAAACAGTCTAGGGGATGATTTTTTTGATGATTTAATAAAGGATTAAATTTGGATAGGTGAAAGTTGTACGATACTCCAATAACTCTCTGGAACAATCTTGAGGACAATAAACGTGCTTCTGGGAACACTGAGCACAGTCCCTGTATGAGCAGATGGGGGACAGGCTCTGCAGTAACATTAAGCCTTCCTCAATGGACAGTCCAAGCAAAAGTCCCTTCACAAGGAATTGGATTAGACTATGCTCTCTAGGATCTCTAACTCTTGTCTGTACTCAGTGATGCCTCTGGACAAATGGCTGCCTCCTACCAATATCCTGAAGGCACTTACTTCTAATAGTAGTAGACCAGATCCTCAGATGACAGCCCCTCAGTCAACTCTTGGCAGTCTTCAGTGGCTCCAGGCCCTCCAGCCTCCCACCTGGGGCATTCACTTGGCAAGCACATGGCAGCAGTGCCCAGGGAGGGCAAACAACCCCTAGATTGTGATCTTTCCCTCTGGAAGAAGACTAGGCTGCTCTCAGCTTCATGATATTTATGCAATCTCCCAGAATCATCTGGACAAAGACTCCCAGGGATTGGCTGGGGCTACACAAATATTAGGCAGCTGATTAGATCTTCCTGCCTCTATTACCTATAGCTCATCTAGGTGAACAGGGGTAAGTAAACAATGAAGCAACCTCTGGAATACAGACCAGACCAAAGCAATCACATGCAGTTCCACTGGTTACAGTGCGCCAGAACTAAACTTACCTACATGAACACTGAAACTACAACCCAACACAAATTACGACTCCACTGGATACAGTGGGCCAAACTAAATTTGCCTAACAGAACAAACTAGCTCCACTGACTACAGTGGGCCCAAATGAAATTTTATCTATCTTAGCACCAATCTAGGAGAGTGTCACAGCAGGATATGACTGCCTTTATATACTGCTGCTAGGTAAATGCAGTTTAGGTCTGTTAATTACTGTTATTCAGAATACTGCAGGTGTTAAACCATATCTCGCAGAGTAACTTTATTGTCTTATTGATTGTATAGATACACTTGCTAATCCTCTCTTGTATGCTTGGCCTAGTAAATCATTTGAAATACATTCAGGTGCTTTCAAGTGGACATCATCCTCCATTGACTACCTTGGTATCCAGCTGACTGCTTCCTACTATTTTTTTTTCACAGCTAACTACTAACCATTGCTTTGTGCCTTGTCTGCTCTTATGCAATCCTGGCAATTCCCACACTTGCCCTGGATAGGCCATATCCATTCTGTGAAAATTACCATTCTGTCCAAACTATTATTATATTACTTTCACACCCTTCCAGTACAGGTCCCATCGCATTTTCTACAGTTGCTCCAAAATAGGATCCTACATTTTATCTGGGCTAATAAATGCCCTAGAGTTTCTAGGGCTACTATTTTTGTGCACAGGCTACAGGGGGGACTTGTTGTTCCTAACGTAGTTAAATACTATCAGGCAGGTCAGAACTCTGAACTATCTTTACTGCATGCCTCAGTTGATGCCCCCCTATGGGGTCTCCTAGAACTTCCCAATGGCACCCCTGTTTCCATGTCAACGCTTCTCTGGCTGCCTTCTAACCTCCGTCTAACGGCACTGAGTCATCATAGTCTACAAGTCTGGGACATGTAATCTTTCCTGCCTTTTGCTCCCCACTATAAACAACCCTCTCTCCCCACCTGGCCTGGACCAGCCACGGGTATTCTCTTGGTGGGTCATCAATGGGTTTTCTAACGTCCAACATTTTTTTCCTCTAGATCCTTTCCCAAATGGGCCTCTTTTTGAGGGTCCCATTATATCCATCAATCAGAATTCTTTTGCTATCTCCAACTCCAACACTGGGTAACCTCATTGCACAGGACTTCCACTTCTACGTTCCAGAAAACTGTGTTTGAGCATACCTGCCAAAATTATCCCGGCTCACCAGGTCTTATCTTAGCCCTTTATGCTTCTATGAACTGTTGCCCCTCCCATACTGCCCTTTCCATTGTCACCCAATATAATCTGGCAATTGAGGTAGATCTAGCAGACTGGAGCAGGTCCTGGTCTTCTGTGACTAAATGCTCATTTAACATGGCTACCTTGGGGGCAGCATATAAGGTGCTACTCCATTGGTACTGGGTTCCAGCCGTATTGCCAATGCAAACCCATCCTACAGTGACCACTGCTTTCGGGGTTATGGGCAACAAGGGGATGTTTTGCATACTTGGTGGACATGCTCTAAATTAGTCGGGTTTTGGTCCCATGTATTTGGCCTCCTCTTTACTTTATTCCACTTACCCATACATAGAGAAGCCAAGTTTGCTCTACTATATTGCCCCATACCAGGTTTATATGCTCATCAGCGGAGGCTTGCCTCCTACCTTTCCTTGTCAGCCACCAGAACGATAGCCCAAGCCTGGAAAAAAACATCTGTCCCCTTTCAAGGGGTATGACTACCCTGATGCTCAATGAACAGATGACTAATATTTGCAATGACTCTCAAGCTAAGTTTCTCAAAGTCTGGGAACCATGCTTGATGTATGCCTTTCCCACTCTTCCCCGAGCCAGTTTGGGCTTCCTCTGACTGCCCGTCCCATTTTTCCGAGACCTTGTCCTTCTCTCTCCTGCCTTCTGGCCCCCGGGCCAACACTTTTCTTTTTCTGTCCTTTCTTTCCACCTTCTCTACAGGTCTGCTCTCCTCCTTAATTGCTGTTTTATTCTTTAATGTTGCTTCTTTTATGTTTGGACTCGTCGCCCTTATTCTCCTGTATCTACATGAGCCATGGACGGTGATTCTGAGTGGGTGTTGAGGGCCCCAGGGAACTCCTTGCCGACATGGGGAGGGGAGGGCCCTGCCAGGCCTCTACCCTTTGGACCCTATGAGGTGTGTTGCATTACTGCTGCTGTGTCCATTTCTGACTGCTTTATAATGCCTCTGTTTTGATATCTTTGCCTCTGTGTACCTTTTCCTGAATGTCATTGCTAGCCCCTGCGTGGGCAGACCAATAACTTGATCATTACTTGTTAACTGCTTGCCTACAGGGCATTTATACCCCCTTCCTGCCCAGGCCTATTTCCAGCTTTCAGCACTGTCACACTTTGAATGAAAATTGCATGGTCATGCAACACTGTACCGATATGAAATTTTTATCATTTTTGTGTGACAGATAGAGCTTTATTTTGGTGGTATTTAATCACCTCTGGGTTTTTTATTTTTTCTTAAACAAACCAAAAACCGCTAAAATTTTTTTAAAAAAAATAACGTTTTTCTTAGTTTTTGTTGTAAAATTTTGTAAATAAGTGATTTTTCTCCTTCACTGATGTGCACTAATGAGGCTGCAGTGATGGACACTGATAGGTGGCACTGATGGGCACTGATGAGGAGGCACTGGTAGGTGGCACTGATGGGCATTGACAGGCATCACTGATGGGCACTGAAAAGCAGCACTGATATATGGCACTGACAGGCGGCACTGATAGGCAGCACTGACAGGCAGCACTGACTGGCACTGACAGGCAACACTGACTGGCACTGTTAGGCGGCACTGACTGGTACTGATAGGCGGAACTGACGGGCACTGATAGGCGGCACTGATGCACACTGATAGGCGGCACTGACTGGCACTGATAGGTGGCACTGAATGGCACTGATAGGTGGCACTCATTGGCAGCACTGATAGGTGGCACTGATTGCATTAATAGGTGGCACTGATGGGTGACACTGAAAGGAAGCTCAGATGGGCACTGATATGTGACATTGGTATGCACTGGTAGGCACTGATATGTGGCATGATGTGGCACTGATGGGCACTGGCACGTGGCACTGTTCAGCACTGACAGCTGGCACTGATGGACACTACAGGTGGCACTTCTGGGGCCACACTGATCAGGGCACACTGATCATCATTGCCCTGATGATCAGTGTACATGTCCCCTCCGCGGAATGCCGATTACCGGCTATCCTCTCCTCTCGAGCTGTCAGCAAGACAGCTCATGAGGAGAGAAATGCTGATAACCGGCATTTCCCTGTTTACATGTGATCAGCTGTCATTGGACACAGCTGATCACATGACCGAGCTGACTTCTTTTGCTCTTTCCATAGATCGATGATCCGCTGTGTCCAAGGGACACAGCGCACCGACGATCGCCGCGCTGCACGCTCCCTGAGCCGCGCATGCGCGTTGAGAATCGTAGGACATCATATGACGTCCTCCCAGAACAATAGAACCACCTTGCGCCCGTCATTGGACTATATGGCGGGCGGGAGGTTGTTAAAACCAATAAAAATTATTGAAATAGAAATACCTTCAGGTGCTGCGTGAGTGAGGAGTGTCATCTTCAGATTTGCAGAAAAATCACAAAACAATTTAGCATTTGTTCGGTCGGGTGGTAGCACTACACTAATATTGCTATGCCTCTATCAATTTTCAACCTCATCAGCCTTCTGATGCCAATAATCAATATTCTTCTTAAACGCTGACACTCTACTCGCTATTGGAAGAAAAGCATATTCTAGGGAATATCTGAAATCCTATTTTCTATTGCATATTTTCTCTCATGCATATTCTGATATCCACTTTACCTCATCCATTTTAACTGTCAAAGATTGTGACAACTTGGGGGTTGTTTAGCTCATTGGTAGTGCTTCGCAGTGAGTTCAATCCACGTCAGATATGCCTTTTCAGGGCTTGTAGGCTCACTTTTATTCAAAACTAAAAGAAAAACATTTACAGCAAACAGCTTCCCTTGCAGGGTTTATCACCATTATTATAGAAACAATTGAGTACTGTCCGTGATACTTTTTTTATTTGCACTAACATACAATTTTGAGGACAAGCTTTCGGGGTATGTCCTCCCCTTCTTCAAAGTCCAAGCAGTACTGTACAAATCACAAAGTTTCAACAGAATGTTAGAAGATACAGCCAAAGCAAGGGGGTGGGGGTGGGGGGGTAACTACACTCACACAGAGGGAGTCAAGCTAGCTAATAGTCATAAAACTGTTGGATAATGAGTGAGGAATACTCAATTGTTTCTGTCGCAAATGCACTAATACGGCTACAATAACCACCATTATTATGAAATTAATAATATTCGGCCTCCTGGCTCCCATTGGCTCAGACCTCTCTGCCCTGTTCCAGACAGCACAATGCAGACATACACACCATACTGCTCCTGTGCACACACACATGGACTCCTTGGGATGGTGGAGCCCAGAACCCTTGTTCTGATTACACTAAGAACCCAGCACACACCAGCACCATCAATGTGCCTGATGTCTATACAACCTGGCTCAGACTGCCCAACTTAATTGCAGAATAACAATTTTTATATATATATATATATATACAGTGGGGCAAAAAAGTATTTAGTCAGCTACCAATTGTGCAAGTTCTCCCACTTAAAAAGATGACAGAGGCCTGTAATTGGCATCATAGGTAGACCTCAACTATGAGAGCCAAAATGAGAAAAAAAGTCCAGACAATCACATTGGCTGATTTGGAAAGAATTTATTTGCAAATTATGGTGGAAAATAAGTATTTGGTCACCTACAAACAAGCAAGATTTCTGTCTCTCACAAACCTGTACCTTCTTCTTTAAGAGGCTCCTCTGTCCTGCAATCATTACCTGTATCAATGGCACCTGTTTGAACTTGTTATCAGTATAAAGGACACCTGTCCACAACCTCAAACAGTCATACTCCAAACTCCACTGTGGTGAAGACCGAAGGACACCAGAAACAAAATTGTAGACCTGCACCAGGCTGGGAAGACTGAATCTGCAATAGGCAAACAGCTTGGTGTGAACAAATCAACTGTGGGAGCAATAATTAGAAAATGGAAAGACATACAAGACCACTGATAATCTCCCTCAATCTGGGGCTCCATGCAATTAAGATCTCACCCCTTGGGGTCAAAATGATCACAAGAACGGTGATCAAAAATCCCAGGACCACACGGGGGGGACCTAGTGAATGACCTGCAGAGAGCTGGGACCAACATAACAAAGGCTACCATCAGTAACACACTACTCCGCCAGGGACTCAGATCCTGCAGTGCCAAACGTGTCCCCCTGCTTAAGCCAGTACATGTCCGGGCCCGTCTGAAGTTTGCTAGAGAGCATTTGGATGATCCAGAAGAGGATGGTCAGGTGAAAATAAAATAGAACTGTTTGGTAGAAACACAACTCGTCGAGTTTGGAGGAGAGAGAATGCTGAGTTGCATCCAAAGAACACCATACCTACTGTGAAGCATGGGGGTGGCAACATCATGCTTTGGGGCTGTTTCTCCAGGACAACTGATCCATGTACAGGACAGAATGAATAGGGCCATGTATCGTGAGATTTTGAGTGCAAACCTCCTTCCATCAGCAAGGGCATTGAAGATGAAACGTGGCTGGGTCTTCCAACATGACAATGATCGCAAACATACCACCCGGGCAATGAAGGAGTGGCTTCGTAAGAAGCATTTCAAGGTCCTGGAGTGGTCTAGCCAGTCTCCAGATCTCAACCCCATAGAAAACCTTTGGAGGGAGTTGAAAGTCCGTGTTGCCCAGCGACAGCCCCAAAACATCACTGCTCTAGAGGAGATCTGCATGGAGGAATGGGCCAACATACCAGCAACAGTGTGTGCCAACCTTGTGAAGACTTACAGGAAATGTTTGACCTCTGTCATTGCCAACAAAGGATATATAACAAAGTATTGAGATGAACTTTTGATATTGACCAAATACTTATTTTCCACCATAATTTGCAAATAAATTCTTTCCAAATCAGCCAATGTGATTGTCTGGATTTTTTTTCTCATTTTGTCTCACATAGTTGAGGTCTACCTATGATGCCAATTACAGGCCTCTCTCATCTTTTTAAGTGGGAGAACTTGCACAATTGGTGGCTGACTAAATACTTTTTTTGCCCCACTGTGTATATATATATATATATATATATATATACACACACACGCTGTCCTGCCATAGGCCATGTACTGTGCCCGTCTAGCACATGCATGCACCATCATGTAAATATGTCATGGTGTAATACAGGGGGTCTTCTAAATATTATCTGTGTGCTGGATCCTGTCCGCTAAAGTTATTTCCCCAGGTCTTCCAAACATAGATTACCAAAAACTGCTCCGGGAAATAGGTAGGCTGCTCACAGGCTCCTTGGTGGGGAGGAGCCAGTGAGTGGCAGCCTGGTGAGGAATCACCACGTGACTTCAGGCTGATTTCTATGCAACATAGAGGAGCAACAGGAGTGGAGGAGGAGAGTACACCAGGTACACTGTGTTACAATGTACAGTGCATTACAGTCAGGGACACTGATAAGGGAGTACCCAGGCCCTCCTGTAGGGCCTGGCCCCAGGGCCGCTGATAAGGGGGTACCCCTGGCCCACACGGCCCCCATCATCTGCATCCAAAACACATAGAAAGTAGGTTATCTGGTTGTCAATGTCATAGTTCACATCAGTGCTTGCAGTTCCAGTGCGTTCTGGTTGCAGAAAAATAAATTGAACAGGCTTAATTTTTTCTGCACAGAACTGCACTGTAATGTGGTAAAACGCACCGGAACGCACAAAAACGCATTGGAATGCACATGTCCCTAATTAAATTGTAGAGAAAGAGAGGGGAAAAAGAACTGGAATGCATCAAAAATGCACCGGAACACGCTAAAAATGCGTAAAAAATGTGCATGCAAAAACTCATCTGGAACACATCTAGACTGCGTTTCTATAGTGTGAATCAGCGCTTAGGACTTGTTCACATCATTTTTGGTGCAGAAACGCATGCAAGAGCACGCATTTTCCTGCACAGCAAAGAAACGCAATGCCCTTTGCAGATGTGCGCAGGCACCATGAATACTTAATTGCACCTCCACACATCTAGTAAACACAGATGCATTCACAGCCACCCAAATGCATGTTGCCACACTACTGTGTGGTTAGGTGCAACACACTTTTAAAATAATATGCTTGCAGTATTTTTGCATGCTCCCACACATTATGCAGTCCATTGAAATTAATGGGTTGAGAAATAAAAATTAGGCAAAAATGCCACATTCACACAGCTCCTCTGGCCAGTACAACATGAATGAGTGGGTTGTTCACGTGGCTGGACCCACCTGGTACGCTATGGGCTGTACAAGTATGATTACAGGTTTTAATCTGATAGGTGTGGGGAAGTGGCCCTAAATGCTCACTGTCTGAGTTCAGGGCTGTACACCTGCACCTATATGCCTGTCAAATTAGGACCTGCAGCGTTTCCATAGTGTAACATAGGTTGCCTGCAAACATCTCAAAGCAGCTCCAGGCACATAAACCACTGATTCACACCCTACAAGCCACAGCACCCATGTGAATGAGCCCCAAGACCTCGGTTACACACAAAGCTTTATTTATTAACTCAGTACAGTTTTATCATTTCGATTTAACAGGAATTTGGTTAGGATTGTGTACATTAATAACGTTTTTAGTGTATTTTTACCATAAGTATAATTTTAATATTTTCTCTGGTGGTGGGGGGCCCTGTCAGGTAGGCTGTATGGGGCCCTGTGATGTCTAACAGTGGTCCTGATTACAGTGTCCAGTGCGTTAGAGTACAGTGCGTCCTAGTGTACAGTGCGTTACAGAGTACAGTGTGTTATACTGCATTCACACCTGAGCGTTTTGTGGCGCAAAGCTCGAAGCTCCAAAACACTCAATATTACTCTATGGAGATGGTTCACATCTCCACTCCAAGTCGCCTGAAGCAGGATGCCTGAAGCTCAAAAAAGTTGGGCATATTTGCAAATTTTTGGCAAATTTTAATTCCCAAAATCTAGCAACAAATGATGAAATAGATGATACTGGCCACAATTCACTAAGCAGTATCTTACCGCATCTGAGTATGTGGTAGGATACCGCATAGCATTTAAAAAAATAAAGTTTGAATTCACTAAAAAAAATACTAAAATACTGCATGAGTTATTTTATCAAGTCATGCAGTGTTTTAGTAGTGAAAAGCATGCGTTAATGTTTCAACTGACAGCAGGGTTCCCCACTGACAGCTGAATG